TTAAAATTAAGCCCAATCATAGACCAAGATTGAATATACAAAATCATTCCCTACAATTGTTTTATCATAACTGGAACTAAAATTACAAACATACTTATTAACTTTTAAACACATAATAATATATAGTAATTAATATATTCTGTGGACTGTGGTGTAACCAAGTTTATACTAATAAACTATCACACATTCACACCAAAAACACTTTAAATTTAAAAACTTAGTTAACATATTGTTGATACATTTTTAATTACTGGAAATACTGTAGTGATTACTTAATTGTATTTATTATTAGAAATAATAATAATATTAGTTATATATAAATGTTGAAAAATAATCAAAACTTTAATTAGCTACCTATCCTGTATAAAAATTATAAACCCTTTTACTGTTTTGGTTCTATACGCCTCAGCCTTCAATTATAATAGATTTTTATGGTAAAATATAAAATCTTTTATTCTGATTAGGGTACACAATTTAGGCCAGTAAAAAATTGTACTTAATTAAACAATTTATAATAGAAAAAATGAAAAAGTAAATATTTAAAATCAAATCTTTTTTTTTAAACATAAACAATTATTTAAAATTATTAATTATTATATTATAACAGTTATTGTGTAGGTATCAGAAATTTTAACGAAAACACAGCATCAATAAAATATGCCTAGGTATAGTTACTAGTTACATTTTCACTCAGAATCTTAATAATTATAGTATATAATGGATATAGCAAACATTTTTACATTTTATATCAAAAAAGTGAAGCCAGTTTTAATCTCATAGTAATATAGTATAGATATCTGTAAATAAATGTAATAAAGTCATTAATTAATCAGTTATCATCGACCAAATAATTTATTATTATCACAGTGTATGTATTAACACAGAACAATATAGAATAGACACTCGATTAGCTGTGAGGGTTTACGTATCCCTACGGTATGATGTATTGGACTATAAAAGTTGTACCGTATCCGTAATCTGATAGAACGTTAGCAACGTGTATCCCTCTTTGTTACGGAATTTTTATAAACGATTAATAACGATAAATAATTTATTTTTCATATTTTAAGTATATCAATATTAAATTTTGGTAAAATGAATAAGGATTTTGTTTTAATATAAATTAAAAACTATAATGTAATTTTACATTGGTTTATTGTTAATGAAATAATATATTGTATTATTATTCTGTGGACTGATAATATTGATATTATTTATTTAAATGATAACATATGACACACCCCCTTAGAGACCGTGCTCAAGGCCACAGTCACCCGATTTTGCCAATACACAGAGTGTCTATACCCTGCTATTAACTAGGTACTTTATCTATATTTAATTGACATTAGTTCACGGTTGTAACTTGTAGATAATATTATATACCACTTAGGTAGGTAAATTAAAATAGAAATTACAAATAACAAATTTTTTAGACCTAAATAAACAATATTCTTATTACCTAAATTTAACTTTTACATATTATACCTAACTAGTAAATAAAATACTGCTATAATGAGTGAAAAGTAGATCATATAGCAGAAGAATAATCATTAAGGTCATCAAAGTTCACACTTTTTTTAAAAGTTCAATTTTGTCCGGAGTGACCCCTTAAATGGGTTGACTTTAGACACATACCTATTAGATTTTATTAAAAACCGATGTTATAATTACAATGGTTGACTTCGGATAATATATATGTATTAAAAAAAAAAAATGTAATAAATTGAAATAAAATACTTCTTTACTTTTCTATAAAAATGACATGTCAACTTGAAATTTATTATTTTCTGTTTTTACTTATTGTGTTATCATTTTTTTATAACTAACACCATCAACGACATTTTAAATATCATTAGGATTATAATTCTTATATACGGACGACCTCTTACATTGTTCACATATGATCTGGCAACTGGGCATAGTTAATGTGTTGTCCGAAGTCACTCCACGTTTGGTAATAATTAAGACGCTTTAACACTACAGCGTGAGATCAAGTAACTTAAAAATTTGCACATATACCAATTAACACCAGTGGTGGGGGTTAGAGGTTAACCCCCCCCCCATAAGTAAAACATTTTTATACACTTATATATAAATGGTAACCAAGTTAACGAGTACCTATAGGTTACCATAAAACGCAATCAAATATTTCTATTTGTTATGGTGTTACAGTAGTCAATGTAGCTCTGTAATTTAAAAATACCAAAATATAATATTTTGTATTTACCTCCATAACATGTACTATGACACCATTATGTCATCAATAAATATTATTTTCTATGGAGTTTTTAACCCAGGATCACTCGCGCGTTGTCTTTTACGCAATTGCTCGCACGTTAGATTTTTCCTAACATACCGTCAACTTTAAACTGAAAATAATTGTCAAATAATGTTACCTTATCTTCCATTATGATATTATTAGTTCTATAGTGATATAGATAAAGCATTGATGAAGGGAGAACTATTTATCATTTGATCGATTATTGTTATTCTAAAAATAAAATGAATGTTAGATTATTTCTAACAGTGCGAGTTATCGCGGGTTAATAAATATTAACGTGGAGTATCAGTTTTCAACTTTTATTAAAAGTGTATTCTAAAATTATAAGATAGGTAACTAAAAAAACATAGTGTTGTCTACCATTACCAACCCAATAACTATTAAACAATTCATTATTAATTCTTTTTCTAATTGTCAACAGACTCACGTTATATATACAGACTTTGAAAAGGCTTTTGATAAAATTAACCATGAACTTTTAATACATAAACTTAAAATAATAGGCTTTGCCAACCCTCGTTTATCATGGTTGAATTAAACTGATGAAATTAGAGAATTATTAAACTAATGATTTCTAAAAAGAATCAAATTTGTAAAATACAAAAATTTTATTTCCAATCCAATTTCAGTATTATCTGGAGTCACACAAGGAGATCACCGTTCCCCGTTACTATTCAATTTATTCATTAACGATATTGTCTTCTCTATTAAATACTCAAATATTCTTCTATTAGCTGATGACTCAAATATTTTTAAATGTATAAGCAATACTGCTGATGCTGAGTTACTTCAATATGATTTAATAAATTTTCAAAATTGGTGCATCTCAAATGGCATGTCCCTTAACATTAATAAATGTTAGTGTATCACTTTTTCCAAAAAACATAATTTAATTTCCCATGAATATATGTTCTCTAACCAAAATGTTTTACGTTGAACTCAAGTTATAGATCTCGGAATAATCTTCGATTCTAAACTTTTATTTAATCTCCATATAGGATCTATAAAAAAAAAGCCTCGTATTTAATTGGCATGATTAAACGAAATAGCTATAGCTTTAATGAACCATTTACACTAAAATACCTATATACTTCAATTGTCCGCCCTATGTTTGAATATGCACCAATCATTTGGCAAACATTTAGAATAGGCCATTGCAAACAATTAGAAAAAATTCAAAATAATATGCTTCGTTTTATCTGCTTTAAATGCAATGTATAAAGACCACACCATTCAGGATATGAAAATATTCTAAACTTTTTAAATTTAAAAACATTAAAAGATAGAAAAAAACAATTTTATATAACCTTCTTATTCAAACTTCTTAATAATAAAAGAGACGATTCTTTCCTCCTAAGCAACATCATTTTAAAAACAAACAATTTTATTCTAACACTTAAAATAAAGAACCCTACACACAATATTATATGTCTTGTACATCTATAAATATTTCATTATTGGGGGACAAGGTGGCCGAGCGGTCAACGCGTCGGCTGCGGCGCTGCCGGTTTGGGTTCGATCCTCGACCAATGGGCGACATTTTTCTCCGGGCAAGTCACAGTGTCCGGAGAACAAGTGCTGCCATCCCCCACTCCGGGACATGGCAGAAACCTTTGGGTGCCCCATTCGAAATTCTGCCAAAACACTAACACTCACGTGTAAACCCCCACCAACAAAAAAAAAACCTACCATCACCACCTTACAACCTACTAACAGCTAATGGCCATAGATACCGGGCTTAAGGATCAATAAAAACAATTAAATAAAAAAAAAAATTAAAAATTTTTATTGTCTAGTGGAAGTTCAGTAAATAATTTAGATTTTTTTTTTCTCTCATTTAATATCTTAATACTTATTATTATAAACTTAAATATTTCATCTTTATTTCTCTTTATTGTACAATTAATTTAATATGTTATCTTGTATATTATATTTATCTTATATTATTAATAATTTTTTTTTACCTAATTTATACACTTGTATTATGTAAATTGGACTAACGTCCTTTAAATAAATAAATACCAATTCTTAAATAAAGCGCGGATTTTTAGGTTCATAAAAGCTTAAAATATGCTCTAAAAAAACACCCTAAAATAATCTCTAAATATTCCTTAAACCTGTAAATATGCAGATAATATGATTTTTTTTTCTTAAATAGTTCTGTAAAAACAATAAATAACTGTTATGGGCCATTCCTTTGGTAACAGGTAAATTATCTTATATATATATGTTACCGGAAAAGATGACATTCAGTCAGTGTTGAAAATGACTAGTCAATAACGATAAGGCCTGATTTAGTAAGGAATTAACGTCAATAACTAGTCATTTATGACGATTCCTAATGAAAGAAGGCATTGATGATAACATTAAAAATTAAGTTGAAAATCAAATAATATATTATAAATTATAATACTTATTAGCTATTTATTATAAATCATAATCTTAATCTTTATTGTTACACGGTAAACTGCTATGTAAAAAAAAAATAATATAATAATAATAAATAGTAAAAAAAATAATATAATAAAATATTAAACTATATTAAGTTGCTTAAAATAATTATACAATTTATGCTTACATAATTTATATAAATTATCTTTCACATCAGTTATAACTGCCAATACATTTCGTGGAGAGCCACGAGCTCGGTCAACATCAGGAATAGAGATACGCACAGATGTTCTTACTTCAAGTTCCGGGTATTTTGAATTAGATGTTCTTACCATTTTTTTTTCGCTTGTTTTTCTAAACATTTAACAGATAATGCTCGTTTGTGTTGAATTTTCTGCTGTCGTTGATTAACTATAAAATTATTTATATTAAAATAAAATATACACTATAGTAGACATTAATTTTATTGTTTCATACTAAGTTCTGAGTTATTTCCAGTTCCTGGTCTGTTTTCTTCAACTTGTGTAGTATGACATTGTTCAGAGTCCAATGAATCTGAACCGAGATGGTCATTCTGACCTTCACAAACTTGTAAAATATTCTCAATATCTTCTTCAGATTGTAGGCAGTCTATTTCATCCATAGGTAAACCTATTGACGCTACGCCTAATCGAGCTGAACATCCAAACATTGCCTCATACGGTGATCTTCCAATACCTAAAAATGTTATCTTATTAAATGTATAAAGGTAATATTATGTTTTTTCAGTTAATTAAATAAAATTGGTGGAGTACGATTGCGCGCGTTTTACCTTTTTGGGCATACGATTGCGCGCGGTACCGGAATAACAAAGAACATGCTTTTGACTATTCAAAAGCGTACGATTGTGCGTGAAATTAGATGCGACGTTGCCAACTTATTATTAAAATTTAAAAAATTATTATTATTGAAAAAATTATAAAAAAATTTGTTATTAATTGTCGTGTATGTTGCTATTTTATTTATTTCTAATAACATAATAGACGTGCGTTATACGACAATTAATCAGTCAAAAATAGTACGTAAATAATTCTTACCTGAATGAAAAGCGCGATTTTTTCGGAACTGTATACATTTTAATCCAGACGTCCAAATCACTACTTTTGTTCTCAGCCATCCATGTAGCCAACATATCCTCCACATCTCGATTGGCGCGTTCAATAGAGCCCTGGCTCTGACTATGTCGAGGTTTCCCATGAACAATTTTTACATCACCCCACATAGCATGAAGTTCGTTTATAGTGTTATTAACAAACTCTCTTCCATTGTCTGAGTGCAGTATGGCTGGTGCTCCAAATGTTGTATAAATATCTAGTAAATTATGTGCAACTTCTTCCGCACGTTTTGTTTTTAATGGTTTAAGTACAACGAACTTTGTTAGGTGGTCTTGGTAATTCATTATAAATCGGAAATCATTTACGCTCTGTGATTGCATATCTATTAAATCCAGTTGAGCACGTGAGTTGTATGCCGAATGTAAAATAGGTTTTGATACAAGACCTCTTTTTGGATTCGAAGATTTTTTATGGCAATCAAAACATAGACTTAAATAAACCATTATTGTTTCCTTTGTCACATTCGCGTATTTTAATTTAACTTCAGCCATCATTCGGTCTCGGCCTCCGTGACCGATTGCTGTATGTGTAGAATGAATATTATATCAAACAGCTCTTCATTTTTCACATAATACAGCACACTCTCTGACGCATTGGTTAGGTATAGTTTTAATAAGACGATCTTTACCGTTGATAATAAGAATATCGTACTTACGAACATTCCTATAGTCTTTCGTACACTTTTTTACTCCAGCCGTAGATAGTGTAATTTTAGATTTTTTTATTTCTTCGATTCGTTCACAATATTCTTCATTATTCAAAAAAAAGTTGTTGTCGTTACGTTTCGATCAGTGGCGTGGCGTGGGTATTAAAAAGATATAAACAGTGAAATTTTTTTTTCAAGTGATTAGAATATAGGTACTATACCTAAATATCTAATTATAAATTATGTATAAAAAAATGTTATCCTTTTAAAATTTTTAATATTTGATGTATAAATCGTCCACATTTTTATCCTCGTAAGCTGCATAAAGCCAATAAAAATATGTATAAACCTAAAGATCCGCGCTCTAATCATAAGTAATATGGCCTTTTTTTTTCTCATACACTTAACAGTTCAGAATCTAATGTAATCCTATGTTCATAAATTAGATTGAACTATAATTATAATTTAATTAATTAGAAAAAACATCTTCATAACCGAGATATAAGTCTATGATCATTTTAAGGGGTATGCATACCGACCGTTTCTAAGGAGTTCGGTATAGGCAATTTTCTAATGGTGTGCATGCGGGTCGTGTAAATGTGTGCGTAGTAAGTGATTATTAGTGTGGGTGACTGTGTATAAAATAAATAGTGGAGCACACCCGCACGTGCACGCACATGTCATTAGCGGAACATTTTACACTCTAATTACAAATGTGAATTTTAGTGAAACACTGAAACTTAGTTTCGTATTTCCAATAATATAGCTTACTGAGTGACATTACAGTATGAACACCTATTATACAAATTGAAGAGAAGGAGTTTATCTAGGCTTGTATAGGAGTCGATTTTCGATATTTTATTTTCAATGTCCAATATTTAACTCTAAAACTTATGATATTTTACTTTTTGAATTTGAATTATTGAGTTTAGTAATTGCAAATATTAAAATTTGACTTCTATACAGGCACAGATTAACTTATCTTCTACAATATTGATAATAGGTGTTTTTACTCTCAAACCACTTAATAAATCATATTATTGGAAATACAAAAGTACATTTTTATAGATTTTTTCAATACTATTCATACCACTTAATAAAAAATACCTATTTCAGTATTTCAACACCTAACAGTCACTTACATTAACAGTTTATAACAGTTATTAATTTTAGCTTTAATAAATAGCTAGTCATGGTCTTGGCGTTATGGGGGTGAATAGTAAACAATGGTATTCTCGTTTGCATGTACTATACTGTAATTTTCAAATCTTAGATTTCTAAAGGAAATTTTTTTTTGAAGTTCTAACTCAAAATGATTTGCACATTTTTGTGATTTTTACATATTTTGTTAAAATTCAAACTATAAATACTGATGAAAAAAAATTGTGACTATTTTTAATATCTTTCAATTGTAATTGTAACATCAAACTAGGAGCCTTGTATTGAATTGTCAAGCTTTTTGACCCAACAAATAACATTTGATTGACATTAATTATAGAAAAAAAATTTAAAAAATTGGAAACGGTAAATTTCAAAACAGTTAAACAGTTTAAAACAAAGTTTTGACCTGCAAGTTTTTTCTTTTATAGAAAATGCTATTATAAATATTCAGGGGAAATTACATTTATCAATTTCAATTAACCTCCGTGTGCACCAACTAGATTTATTTTCCGATTGAACCAGAAACTGTAGTTGAAAATCGACACACACATACACACAAAACACTTGTAAAATCAATATATTTATTGCTCCACTCAGAATCTAAAACTAAAAAAGGTGGGTAAGTGGATGTCGCTCTGCTGTACAGTAGGTTACAAGTGGGTCACTGTATAATGGATGCTTTTAAATTTGAATTCAATGATACAATATCATTGTATAAGAAAAACGATTCTGAGCGAAGACGGTATGTCAGTCTAGGTTTAAGACAAATTATATACATATCTATGGTATTAAAAAAAAAAAATTGACTTTTAATAAATTCCAAATTAATCATATCACATTATCACAATATCCATTAGGTACTTATAACATGTTATATATCAACGTCAATAACAAACCCTGATACTATCATAGATATATAATAGTACACTTTAGAAGTTTCAAGTAGGTACCCACGAATAAAATTATATAATCACAACAAAATAACTAGGTTTTTTAATATGTAATTTCGTCCAAATTTGAACATAAAATGACTATAAAAATAAACTGTAATTGTATATTTTTTAGATTTTTCGGTAAGAGAATTAACTACTTAGGTACGTGGAATCTTGTTTTTCATTTTCAATCCTTAGCTATAAAAACTGAACATTTTATAATTTATTAATTACGATGATTAATCATTTTCGAGATTTTGAAAAATTCTGTCAAAATTCGATGTTTAAATGCTTATAAAAAAAAATTGTGCCTATGTATTTTTAATATTTTTCAACTGATATTGTAACAATATATCAGGAGCCTTGTATTAAATTTTTACACTTTTTGGCCCAACAGATAAAACTTTATTGATATTCATAGAAAAAAAAACTAAAAAAATTGAAAACTGAAAATGTCCGTAAACAGCTCAAAAAGAGTCAAAATATTTTCAAAATTGTATGGTGTATAGGAAATGCTAATATAAACATTCAGTGAAATTTTCATGTATCTATAGTTATTCGTTTATGAATAACAACAAAATAAGGAAATCGCTACATGAGAAATCGAGTGAACATCCAATGATGTAAAAATTTGAATTTCAAACGCTCATAAAAATTTAATTTGACTGTCCGGTAGAGATTTTTTTATTGATAAAGGTAGACAAACTTATGAGTAATCTTGTATTACATTTTCAAATCTTAGATTTAAAAAGAAAAATTTTTACGAATTCTTAACTCAAAATAATTTGCTAATTTTCGTGATTTTTCCATATTTTGTCAATTTTTGAACTTTAAATGCTTATAAAAAAAATTGTGACTAAGGATTTTTAATATTTTTCATCTGCCTTTGAAACAATATATTAGGAGCCTTCTATTAAATTTTCAAGTTTTCGCAACCAACAAATAAAATTTTCTTGATATTTCTAGAAAAAAAAACTAAAAAAAAATGAAAAATGAAAATGTCCCTAAACTGTTCAAAATAAATCAAAATATTTTGAAAATGTTATCGTGTATAGAAAATGCAAATATAAACAACCAGTGAAAATTTCATGTATCTACGGTCATTTGTTTTAAAGTTACACCAAAAACCAAATTCAATTTTCTGAAAAATCGATTTTGCGTAAAAATTCCCGTTTTTCCTTAATTTTTCTTTTGTTTTTCTTGGCGCTTTTGAAAAGTACTGGGAATTTTAAATTTTGACCTCCCCAATGCACCAACGATATTTACTTTCCAATCGAACAAGATACTGAAGTCGAAAATCGAAGCATTATTTCGACTACTTATCGTGTACACAGACACAAAAAAAATAAAAAAAAAAACACACATCATTGTAAAATCAATACATTCATCGTTTCACTCAGAATCTAAAATATTTAGACATTTTTTGTTTGGTGTATAAAAAATGCTATAATAAACATTCAGTGAACATTTCATGTATCTACGGTAATTTGTTTTAGAGTTACACCAAAAACCAAAATAGATTGTGTCAAAACTGATTTTGAGTAAAAATCCCCCTTTTAACTTTTGTTTTGTTTCTCCCTGTGCTTTTAATCCCCCAAAGCCCAAAAGTAAAATCAATACCTAAAATAACTAGTAGATTTCTGTTTGCATTTTAAGTTCTTCTTAATGTATTTAAACAATTTACGTATTTATTATTATTTTTCACATATTGCATTAATTTCTGTTTGAGATCTTATATCGATATATTTTT